GCAGTTGGGAGTGTGAAATGGTACTACCACTGTGGAGAACATTTTATTTATAGTAATCACCAAAAGCTAAAAATAATTCAAATGTACTTCAACAGGTGAATGGATAAACTAATTGTGGAAAATCTATACAATGGAATACTAATCTATAGTTTAAAAAACTAAAATACTGACACATGTAACAATGAAGATGAATTTAAGAAGTATTTATGCTGAAAGACGCCAGACACAGGAGTGCATACTGTATGGTTCCATTTATTCTAGAGCAAGCAAAATTAATCTGTAGAACAGAAAGCAGGTCAGAAGTTATATGAGACTAGAGCAGTGATGGCGAACCTATGACACGCGTGTCAGAGGTGACACGCAAACTCATTTTTTTGGTTGATTTTTCTTTGTTAAATGGCATTTAAATATATAAAATAAATATCAAAAATATAAGTCTTTGTTTTACTATGGTTGCAAATATCAAAAAATTTCTATATGTGACACGGCACCAGAGTTAAGTTAGGGTTTTCCAAAATGCTGACATTTCAAAATGCTGACACGCCGAGCTCAAAGGGTTTGCCATCACTGGACTAGAGGCCCAGTGCACGAATTCATGCACCAGTAGGTCCCTCGGCCTGGCCTGTGGGATCGGGTCGAAACCAGCTCTCTGATGTCCCCTAAGGGGTCCCAATTGCGAGAGGGCGCAGGCCAGGCCTTGGGACCCCACGGGTGCATGATCGGGGCCGGGGAGAAACACGGCAGGTTGGCCAGCCGGGGTGGGACCATGGGAGGACTCCAGGGTGTGTCTGGCCCGTCTTACCCAGTCCCAATCGGCTGGACCTCTGCAGCAAGCTAACCTACCAGTTGGAGCATCTGCCCCCTGGTGGTCAGTGCACATTATAGTGAGCAGTTGAATGGCCTTAGCATATCATTAGCATATTATGCTTTGATTGAACAGCCAACTGGTTGACCGGACACTTAGCATATTAGGCTTTTATTATACTAGTATAGGATGGTGTGAGAAGGAGGGAGTAGATGCCTACAAGTAAGCATGAGGAATTCTTTGCAGTGATGTTTGCAAGCATGTTGTGGAAATGTGTCAAACTGTACACTTAAGAGAGTGCATTGTATCACACATGAAGTTGATTTTAAAAGATGAGGGATCTATTCTGAGCTCTACCATTAACTAACTAGCTCTTTGTGTTCTTGTGAAAGGAGCTTAATCCCTCTACATCTCTTTCCTATTGGGAAAATGGGGACAATAGGTAGCTCACCTACCCCATTTAGTTATTGTGGATTATAAATGAAGTCATTTATTTTGAAATGCCTTTAAGAAAATATAAAGTCATATACAAATGCTGGGTGGGGGTTAGGGGAGAAATTCCATAAACTCCTCTTAAGGGAAGAAAGGCAAGAACTGTGATGACCAATATATGAGCTTATATATATATTTTGGATTGTATTTGCAAGTCATCTTTTAACTCTGTTTAACATTGGTTGTGTCACTTCCCCTCTACCCATCAGTAAAATGACAGGGTTGGACTAGATCAGAGGTAGAAGACTGTAGGCTCAGAGACTCTTTAAAGCCTTCCAAATACGTTTTCTTTAGCCTCTGTAGTGTCGGCCTGTCCATCATTTATTTAAAATGTGACTAGTTGCCAGTGTTTAAAACTAGAGATTGCACATAAAGTTTTTTTGTTTGTTTGTTTGTTTTTCAGTTTATCTTTGGAAGTGAGCAGATATGACAAAACTGGGTCCATATTCCTACATAGCAACAAGTGCCTGAAGTTGTGTAGTAGCTGTTGTTTTTTTGTGGGCCATATGCTTTAGTTTCCCACAGTCTCCACCACACTCTGTAGCCTTTTCTATTCTCTATAGTAACATTAAGAGGAAAGTTAATTCATTTTAGAGTGCTCTCTTTATGTTTAGGACATGATTTTACAGAGGGGAACCAAACAGACAAAATATCTATCATAGTGAGTAGAAAGTACTTATCTACATTATCAAAAATTAGGAGAAAGTTAGACCAAGAGTGCTATATATTTTAGGGAAAGTGGGAGGAAACATGTATCTTTGTGGAAGTAAAAAAAAAATATTCCCATATATCTCATAGGCAAAAGTGTGTATGTGCCACAGTTATCTTGCCTGTTTTACTTGCTTACCTCACAAAATGGTAAGCAAGTACCTTTTTCCTTTTGTGATTCAATAAATTCATGGATTATCCAAAAAATTTATTCCAGTAAAATCATGGAGATTATTTCAGTATTTTAGAAAATGCCGGTAGGCAGAGAGAGTGACACAGGCTCTATTGAATGTTAACAGTTCTTACCTCTGTTCAAACCATCCCCACCTCAGCTTAAAATTTTTCCATTTAAACAAGCTCTTGTGATGCAACTCAATCTGAAACGAGCATCTCTATTAACAGTCCTATAGCTGCCTTCTTCTGCAGTGGCCTGAACCCTGGTCCATGTGTACTGGAGACGTATCTTGAGTAATGCTATATCCCCTCTACCTTCTAGGAACTTACATCTCTATTTGGTCAACTCCTCAGTTCATATTGGCCAAGATTTTTCTATTGGCAGTCCTTTCAGGCTTTGATTTTGATCTCACAGTTAAGGAACCGTGATTTATATGCTTCTCACCTGCAAATAGGCCTTTGTATGGGCATAGATGCTTAATAAAATAGTTCTGTCTCTATTAGGCATAATGGTTTATTGCTCTGCCTTTAGAATTATGAAGGTCATGGGCTTTGAGAATTTGGGCTGGCTCTTTTCGACCAGTTGTGCTTGCCTAGATTGAGAGGTAGGCATCTGACTCATTTCTTCAGTCTTGGCTGGAAAGGTCATCTTGCTACCTGGTGAAGAAAACTACACTGCCCCCATCTGGTGGCAGTTACATCAAATTGCTGCATCATTAACTTGCTTCTGAAAGGACGGCCTTGTTCTTTAGTGGTGCCATGCATCACAAAACTGCAGAAAATAGCCATTCCTGATTTTTGTTCTGCAGCACTAACGGGGGATTGCACAGTTTTCTCTAAGGTACATGAACTGGAAAGAACATATTTTGGACAATCAGGAGATTGACACTGTTCCAGGTTCTGCCCATAACTAGCCATGGGACTCCTAAGCCTCAATAGGTTCCTCTACCCATAAAGCAAAATGCTTGAACTTAATGTTCTCTACAGGCACTACTGGTATAAAATCTGTAGTTCTGTGATTTTTTTCAAAATTCAAAATATCTATAAAATGAAACAACTTATACTGTTTACAAAACAGGTATGAATATACATTGAAATTTTATACTTTATACTATCGTTGTCCTCAGTTCTTGATTTTAAGACACATCATGAATTTTAATAGCTTTTTTTGGGGGGGGGGAAATAGCACTTTATTAAATGTACATATTTATAATAAGAAAATTTCAGATATTGAAAAATTAAATTGTAAAAAATTTGCATCTTAGCATTGACATTTTTGGGGGTGAGTGTGTGATAAGGTCTCTATAAGTGCATGTGAGGGTTAAAAATCTCTTTTTGTAAATACTCAAAATTCTAGAATTACAATTGACAATTGAACAGTGTAAGTGTAATTTAAAGTATTAGGAGAAAATGGAAAATGTTATTGAAGTACAAAGATTAAAGAGATGACAGTGGAAATTAAAGATTAATTTGGGTGATTATTTCATAAGTTATATAAATGTCTAAACAAAGGGTTTATACCTGAAACTAATATAAAATTACATGTCACTGTAATTGAAAAATAAAAAAAATATTTAGAAAAAATAAAGATTACTGGGGGCCGGGGGTGTCAAGTGGGGAAAAAGGAGATATATGTAAAACTTTAGACAATAAATAAAGAAAAGATTATATGGTAAATTTTATGTTTATCTGAATACTGAAGAAGAACATAGTGACAGGAAATATACAAACACGCAGTTTCCAGTAAATCATTATCAAAATACACACTGGCACATTTGAACCCATTAAACAATTTTTAACACGGAATTATGTGTGTATTTTAACATGCAACAGTGCTTTATGATTAAAGCTCTCTTTGGTTGTAAGGAACAGAAACTTACTCAAGCTGACTTAAAAAGGAATAATTATTGTAAAGATGCAACAGGAAATTCTGTGAACATCAACAGACAGGTGCTGAAGTGCAGCTGGGCTTCAGAGGAACTAGAGTGGCAGTCAAGACCCAAGTCCTGTCTCAGGCCTGAGATCTCTATAATCATGATGATTGCTCTACTAATTTTGCATGTGGCTGTTAGCCCCAAACAAATGCCATAACTTCAACTCAAGTTCCCGTACTGATGACTTCCCTCTGCTTTCTCCTTCATCCAATTAGTGATTATCTCTGTGCAGTGACTTGTTGTTGTTACATAGGCTCAATGCACAGGATAGTTCAAAGTAAATTATGAAGGTACACGAGCAGGCAGATGGCTAAGTGTCCAGTATTGGTTCCGCTATCCCAAACCTTCAACTTTGACAGCTGTGCAGCACCTTGTCTATCTATTACCTCTTTTAACAATTACACAAAACACTTCATACAGTGTATGGGAGTGATGACAAGGTTAGGAGTTCTAAGGATTTGTGGAACACTAAGGTGTAACAAATTTAAAGTATTTAAGAATGCTTCAGCTAGTAATTATTGCATTAAAGGGAAAAATAACACTGAGCTTCACAGGATTGTAGTTAGAATTAAGAGCTCAAAGTGCCAAGGACAGTAGTTGGAATGTAGTTTTTCCCCGTTCATCTGTTTATCTGTTTATTTGTAGGCTCTTTTGAAGATAGTTACTATTGTTCCTTTCTCCTGAGATTGGTGTTTAGAAACAATTTCTCTGATTTCTGCCACCCGATTGCCTCTGAGTCCTGAGAATCTAAGATTGCCGTCAAAGCCAGGCCAATGCTAAGAGTAGTTGACAGTGGCATCAGCACCACCAACAGTGACAGCAGCCACCATAGTCATTGACTTTTCCAACATGACTCAGAAGAACTTGTATGTTTGTTTCTCTCACAGGTGGATTTGCTATCGTGTTTCTAGTAAGGACAAGCAACGGAATGAAATGTGCCTTGAAACGCATGTTTGTCAACAATGAGTATGATCTCCAAGTGTGCAAGAGAGAAATCCAGATAATGGTAAGGCTGCCCCTCAGACTTGACACAGCTTATGTAAAATGGGGGTGGGAAGAGACTGTGCCCTCTCATAAAGGCAGCGGGGAGAGGGCTGTTCCCTTTCCTGCAGTGGCAGAGAGGCCTCTGCACATCATGGGAATGAACAGCATTGGGGTGTAGGATGCTGCTCCTGCCTTGGTCACCTTCAGTTGCAGGGTTGAAGAGAAAGGGACCTGTTGAAAGAACAGCTATATTTTTAGGTCAGAGAAATAGTTTTGGACATTGGGAAAATTTATTTCACAGCATGGTTCCCAGAATTAACTGTGGAGTTTAATCTGGAAACCCTAGCTTTTCAGCAAACCTCTTCTTCTAGTCTTGTCTTCTATCAGTTACCAATCCAGTTTTCAACTCTCTTGAGCTCTTCAGCATTCTGTGACATATCTTTCCACACATTTTTATTTTGTACATGTAGTTCTTTCCACCTGGAATGTTTCTCTCTTTTTTGGCCTAGAAACCTCTTCCTCGGTGATTTCATTTATAAAAGTCTAAGAACAGGCAAAAGTGATCCTTGGTAATAAAAGTCAGAAAGCAGTTAGCTGGGTGTAAGAAATTGATTAGAAATGGGCATGTGCGAACTTTCTGGGCCATAGAAATGTTTTATACCTTGTTTTGGGTAGTGGTTACACAAGCCTATATAATTGTTGAGCACCTTAAGATCTGTGCATTTTATTATATGTTAATTATATCTTAAAAACTTCATTTTCAAGATACAGATTAATGTTTTAAAAAAGAGTTCCTGTCTGTTAGAGGTATATGAAAAAATATTTATAGATAAAATAATATGATGTCTTGAAGTTAATGAGTGGATTTAGAAGAGAAACAAGATTGGCAATGAATTGATTATGATCAAGGCAGAGTGATGGGTATATGTAAGTTTGTTGGAGTTGCCTCTTTCACCTCTGTTTATCATTATACCTAAAAAATGTAAATAGTCTTTTAATCCATGTTTCCACAGTACTTTTGTTAATGCCAATTATATTGTTTATCTTGTTATTTTATAAAACGTACTGCTATCAGAAAGTAAGTTATTTAAAATCAGAAACTTTATATTCCAGTGCATTGCTTGACATAGAGTAAATACTTAATAAACTTTGGATAAAATTAATGTATGAGTAATGGTAATAGCAGATGTGCATGTTCATCAAGAGATGATGATTCATTTGTGCTCTGGATTTTAATGCTTTTGTAAAGAGACCTAAAAAGTGGATGAGGATGGCATTGTAGGGATCCCACCAGGCTTTGCTTGCCCGGTTGCCCTTTCTGTGGCTACTTAGAGTAACTAGTTGTACTGTAGTTGACTACTGAAGGAACTCAGAATTTTAGAGAGCCTGGTACTACTTTGAATTCCAGAAAGCTGAAACTATTTGGGAAGTAACTGTTGATAGAAATGTGTTGCTGTCATCATTGCAAAACAAATAAGAAAAAAACCCTAAGGCTCATATAAATACAGTCAGGGCCATGAGGATCTGTCCACAAGGCACCAATGTTCTCCCACTACCTTGCCACACAACTCAAAATGACTGTGCTCACTGTATTTTCCTTTATCCACCTCATAGGTTTTCTGGATGCTTACTACTCCCACCTTGCTCCTTCCTTGCTCAGCTCTCACACTTCATTTCCTGTCTTTGCTTCTGCTATTTTCTCTGCCTGGAATGCCCTTCTCATTCATTTTCTGGTGTTAGCAAAGTCATTCCACTCTTGAACTTTCTCCCACTCATTTATAAACATGTTCGAGGGCTTACTTTGTGCTAAAGCAGGCATTGGAGTAGAGGAACTAAGAAGACACAGGCCCCATAGGAGCTCACAAATTAATGGACCTGATTAGGAATTAAATTATGTGAGTTCAAGTTCTGGTCTGGCCAGGTATTAGCTGTGGGAGTTTTGTTTTGAATTTTGTTTATATTTTTTAAAAACTTAAATACTCAAGTAGGTGAACTAAATAAACTTGTTACAAAAAACATCAAGCAATTTCCCAAGGGCTCCTCCTATGCCATTCAGGGTCCCAAGGCAACCACTTTTAGTTGATTGATTTGCTATATTTCTAACTAACATTGCTAATTCTTGATCTCCCCTCCCCAGTCCCTAGAAACCACTGATTTTTAATTTAATTTTATTTTTTTTTACTCTTGCCATAGTTTGCCTTTTTCAGAACTTCATAATTGAAGTTATTCAGTATGATTCAGTATGTAGCCTTTTCAGATTGGCTTCCCTCAGTAATATGCATTTAAAGTTTTTCATGTCTTTTTTATGGCTTGATAGCTCATTTATTTTTAGGGCTGAGTAATATTTCTTTGTATGGATGTATCACTGTTTACCTATCACCTACTGAAGGATATTTTGGTTGCTTCCACATTTTAGCAGTTATGAATAAAGCAGCTATAAACATCTGTGTGCAGGTATTTGTGTGGGCATAATTTTCAACTTATTTAGATATTTCATATATTTTCAACTAAGCAATTATTATTTCAGGTTTAAAGATTCCCTTTTTATGTTTCTAAGCCAGGGCTAGAATCTGTTTTTAAACAGAATCCTCAGCTGATTCATATTTATATGAGCGTTTGACCACACTACTTAGAATCAGACTCTAAATGTCTTTAAAGATCTATTCAGTAAGTACAGGATTAATTAATGGTAAGACTTGGGAAAAGGAGAGTACATTTGAGTGTAGAAAGGAGAATATCTAGGACTTTTTATGTAGGTAAACCCACAAGGGCCCCAGATACCTTGGCCTTCTATAACTCCAGGACCAGCCCTGGAGTTCTTCCTTTCACTACTACACTGGACTTGACAGTGTTTGTATGCCTGTGAATAACTCCTTGAAGAGAGTTATAAAGGAAATTTAGAGTTATAGAGAAGGAAAAGTAAGGCAAAAGACTCCTTTACAAAGCAACTTTGGGAGAGGGAAATTAATTTCAGGCTTTAGTACTGCGTTTCTTCACCTTTTAAATTAAGAAGAAGCTGAAATTTGGTTAAAAGGGTCTGTGCAACCCTAGTGTGATTCTAGAAGTAGGTAGCAATAATGTTGACTCAAATTCAAAAAACATTGAATATTTGAATGGAGGGTCAAAAGGGGTTAATATACCTTTTTGGAAACTTACTTTACACAAATGTAAGCACTGTAAGAATCAGGAATCTGTAGGTTTGATGCTGACATTGCAAGGAAGGGTAGCTTGAGAAATGTAGGGAAATTAGTTATATGCAAACCTCACTTTTACTATTTTGAGGTGAGTGATATTATTGCTATGCTATTTAGAATGCTATCTTCTTTGTTTTCTTGCACATGAATATAAAGGTTTTTAGGTATGTATTTAGGAATCGAGACCTCTGTTTTCTTGTAAGGCGTTAAGATTCTTAAGTAGGAATTCTGCTACAGGAATTGTGAAGTTAGGGATAGAATACTGTTCTGTACTACAGGCATCATTAATTAGGATCCCAGATAAACTTGAAATTTGTAACCTATAGGATCTGGGTTGAAGGGCTGATTTTCAAATGATAGTTTTTGTGTGTGTTTGTGAAAAAAGTTTTTAAGCACTTAAAGCAGTTAAATATGAAAGTTAATAAGCTCACTATAAACCACTTTAGATATCTATTTAATAAAGTAGGTCTTCTGATAACATGTTTGTCGGTACTTCATTAATCTTGCTTAGTATTAATTTAAAAATAAAGTTTGAAATGACAACACAATCTCTTTAGACTTATCACTGTTAAAATCATGTAATATAAACTGATCTGATCTATAGTTAACTGAACATTCCCCACACGCTAAAACACAGGTTTTGACTTATACTCACCATATAGATATTTATCCCAATACTCCAAATGCTAGTTGTAGCCAAGGGCATCAAAGCATCTTCCCCATGTCCTGCCTCTTCCTGAGTAACTAGGTAGTTATTGAGATTGCCTCTCCCCCCTCCCTCCTTACTGCCTCCTTCTTGCCCTCCCCCAATGTGGATTCCATCCCATACCTCTATATGCAGTCTATTCTGTAAGCCTGGGACTGGTCCTTTAACTAAAGCCAGGGAAAGCTGGGGAATCTTCTGGCCTGCAGCTGCTGGGAGCTATATGCCAGTGTACCGTCAATGTAAATCAGCCTCAATTTGCAGTAAGATTTTCTCTTGAACTTTTCTACATTTCAAAACTATTCAAACAGATCGTCTCCATCAGTTATAAACCAGTGATGTTTTACTCTAAGTTGTGAGATATTGCTGCATCATCAAGTCATTAAAAGTCATGGTCTCCCTCCAAAGAGGTGGTCTTTTCTGGTAGATATATTTCAGAATCTCTGCAGAAGATAAAATGAACAGGAATTTTATCAGTTGAAGATAAAGATGGACTTGAACTCATCAGCAAACATCTTGGCAAGCTGTTCTAGGATGCCATCTGCAGATGTTAATTATCTAGTTTGGGTCCTCTAATAGCTCTTAACCTCCTCTTGACTCTGCCAAATGCTTTTTATTTTTCTTGTAGATTCTTTCTATTCCTCTTTGGGCAATACAAAGTCATAGGCAACATTGCTGATTCTTTTTCAAACATGTTAGTGTAAAAATATTAGTCTTTCATTCCTCCTTGTGGACATTTGGAGGACACGATCTTCCGCTCCATTTTGTTTTCCAAGAACTTCTCTTCAGTTCTTCCTATTTCCAGGACTGTGTAAATGAAACAACTCCATAAGAGTTGATAATAATACTGAAAAGCAGAGGGAATAATAGTCCTGTGAAACTTGAGTCCTGAAATCACTCTCTGTTTAGAGAAACTTGAACTCTAGAGGCTGCTTTTCTGCTTCATTATCTCTCTTGTCTGTTATCCAACGCAGTTGTTCTAAGACTTTTTGCTCATCAAGCTTCTTTCTCATTCCCATGTACTTGAAGATGATTTTGCTTTCTACCAAAAACAGTAGATCTGAGCTCACTCAAATTTTTTTCCCTAGCCTTAAACCTATATTCATATCCATTTTTATTTCCTTCCTGATTGCCAGGAAAGACGTGTCTAAGTCCCTGTAGCAATGCTCTGAATCCTCACCTCTTCTACCTACGTATGGGACTGTTCCATCATTTATCGCAGCCTTACAGCTTTCTTCTCCTGGCTCCTTCCATTCTCCATTGGTCATTTCTTTCCCATCCTAAAAATTCTTTTCCTCAGTGCTGCTTCTCTCTTCAGCACAAAATGTTTTGAAAGAGTAATCTGTAGTTGCTGGCTCTATATATTCAATTCCCATTCTTTGCAAGTCCAATTCAATTCTTACCTCCATTCCATGCCCTCTCTGAAACTGTTCTTGTATGGATCGCCAACGACTTCCCCATTACCAATTGCAATGGTCACATTTCTGCCTTTGGTCTACCTTCTGAGGCAACTACATTTTTAATCTTTCATATAGAGGAAAGTTCTAATGAGTTTTAACTTTGATGTTCAGGGTTCAGTTGTGTTCATTTGATATTGTGAGGCTTCCTCTTATTTGGCTATGTAATTTCAGATTGCAAGAGACTTTATTTATTACTTTAAACAGTGGAATGAATCTCTATGTGGTGATAGTTACTATTCTGTGGTACAAACTGCCAAATTTGTATGGCGACTCTTACAGAACCACATATTTTTCTTACTCTCCCACTTTTTATTAAACCAAAACAAAATAATTTATTAAAACTAGTTAGTAATAGATTTGTGCAAAAATATTTCCCAGCTAGCTCATTTTTTGCTCACTAATGACCTTAGATTTTGAACATCATCACTACACAGAATTGCCTATTAGATGTTGTAATAACTATACCAGAGTGAGAGGCAACTTCTGGTGCCTCACTGGGTCCTGACACAAAATTAATTCCACAAGCAGCCCTCGGAGATCATATGCAGTTCCAACCAGAGAGCTGGAAACATGACCCATCTTATTTATATACCAGCTGGTTGGCTTGAAAGGCTTAATTACAAGCAAAATGCTTAGGTCTGGATTCCATTGTAGTTCCTATAAAACTGTAAAGCAGTTATTCTTTTATATAATTCCTAAAGGGAGAAAAACAGTATGAACAGTTTAAAAGTCAAGTTGAATTTACTTGTTTCCCTACAACCAGGAAAAAACATCAGTTTCAATTTCTGAATTAAAAACTGACATGTTTAAATAGTTAATACTGTTTCTCTCCTCTTAGCCCCTCTGCAGTGGTCTCACAGTGTTGCTTCCAGTTTTCATGGATGCAGTAAGCAAGGAGTCACCCTGTGTCCATTTGGTTCTAGGGTTCAGGAGAGGGCTATGGTTTAGTAGGGTTTTTGGATTGCTATTGAAGATCTGGCCATGAATCTCAGAGACCACTGGGAATCTGCTCTTGACCCTGCTCCTTATCCTCTGTGTATTTAAGTTATCTGTGCTAATGGAACTGACTGGCTCATTGTGTTTCTGTTGGTGTCTGTAACTGATAATATTTTAACTCTTCTTCACAGAGAGACTTGTCGGGACACAAGAACATTGTGGGTTACATTGATTCTAGTATCAACAATGTGAGTAGTGGTGATGTATGGGAAGTGCTCATTCTGATGGACTTCTGTAGGGGTGAGTACATGAATCATATCTTAAACTCTCATTTCACTAACACTTGAATTGTTTCAGTTATTACACTACTCTAATGTATGTTGTTCTGGTTTTAAAGATGGGAAAACTAAGAGGCTAAAAGATACAGAGTCTGCTGTCACCTCTTGGTTATTCTGATAATGGCAAGGATCAGTGGTACAAACAGTTCAAAGTGGTGGATAATGCAAAACTCCATATTTTTTAGGTTTATGAAGGGTTGGTGCTTGTATATGAATGAGAATGTATCAGAATGAGAATGAATGTGTTCTTTGTGGTGCTTTAAAACAATAATGAAGGCACATAATAAAGGCCCAACTCCAGATGGACTACAGAAACAATTCAGCTTCCCCACTCCCTCTCTCATGTGTTCTATTCTCCACCCACACCACCGTCCTTGTTATGGGATAAAAGAATCCTTTTCCTGTAATGGAAATGACCTTCCTCCCCTTGCTTGAGTGCTATAATTGCCGGGAAGGCTACATTCAAACTATGCTGCTCTTAACAGTGGAGTTTAGTAGTTGAAAGCATGGAGTTTCAAGCAGTATTTATCTTGGAAAATCCAGACTATAACATGATTTTATTCAGAGTTGATGGCATTTCATACAACCATTGTTTGGAGGTGTGACTTTTTTTGTTTAAGCAGCTGCCACTTACAAGCTTGGGTCACTGTCTCACTGTTATGTAGTCACCCTTACTTCCACTAACATTTTCCTTGCCTTAAGATACTGTCCATAAACTAATTATGTTGCTTATCCCAAAAATGTGATGTCATCTGGTAATTTCAGCCTTAACTATATAATACCTGTTAACCTGATTTTTAAAAATACTACCAAATGTGAACTTGACAGTTTGTTTCCTCCTGCCCAATCCTTTTTGGACAGTAAAATGTTTAGAGATGAGGCAGTAGGAGCATTCAGGGATCTGGCTAATTTTGTAAATGAAGCCGTTAGGCTTTTGGTCCTGGAGATTAAATGTTGGCATAGCATTTCTACAGACTAGGTGGCAAGTAGTGAAGCCAGGAAGACAAGGTTGTTCCTGAAGTACAGACGATAAAAGCTGTCTTCTTTCCTTCTCCTGAGGTTTATTGTGCAATTGGATTCTTACTAAAAGATATGGCAAGTTGAACCTGTGGTCTTGTTTCATACACAGCAGGGACAGTATAACCAGACAACTAGAGCAGGACCATATTGTCAGCTCTATTACTAATCTTGAAGTCATAATGAGGGCAGCTCATGTCTGGGGTGCATAATGGAATAAGCAAACTGTTTTTTGATTTTTAATCCTCACCCGAGGATATTTTTTCCATTGATTTTTCTAGAGAGAGTGGAAGAGAGGAAGAGGAGGGGGGGGAAGAGAGAGAGAGAGAGAGAGAGAGAGAGAGAGAGAGAAACATTGATTGGTTGCCTCCTGCTCGCATCCCGACTAGGGCCGGGGATCGATCTGCAACCGAGGTATGTGCCCTTGGCCAGGAATCAAACCTGTGACCCTTCCATCCATGGGCCTACGCCCTAACCAGTGAACAACCAGCTAGGGCAGGAAACTGTTTTTGACACATTGGAGAAAGCACTGGATTGTTAAAAACACACACTAATTCCAGGGTGTGAATCAAGACAGCTGGGTTTTAGTCCTGGCTCAACTAGTCTGTTGAGCCAAGTAATCATGTCTGTTACCTTGGTCCAGGTTGCTGCTTTGTGGAGAGTCATTTATTCTCTTGGGTAAGAGATGAATCTGAATGTTTATAACCTCTCTTTTCCTCTGCCCCCCTCTTAGGAGGCCAGGTGGTCAACCTGATGAACCAACGCCTGCAAACAGGTTTTACAGAGAACGAAGTGCTCCAGATATTTTGTGACACCTGTGAAGCTGTTGCTCGCCTCCATCAGTGCAAAACTCCTATTATTCACCGTGACCTGAAGGTAACAGACCACCTATTTAACTAAGTGTTTGTTCTTACAGAGTATTTTCTATCTGACCCAGGGATGGGGTAGACGCTAGGGGATATGAGAGAAGTGTAAGGCATGGTTCCAAATTCTGAGCTTTCGTTCTTCTTGGGGAGAGAAAATGCAAAGGATGAAAAGACACAACAGTACAGTATAGGTATCAGTTTTATTAAGTCGTTTTCAGAAATTCTTCATAATCATCAAATGCTTGAGCACACATTGTTTTTATTTTTCCTGATACATTGCCAAATTCACTTTTCCAGGGTCATGAAAAGTTATATCTAATTTAAATAGTTTATAAACAATGATCTTTGGTCTTTAAAGTCTATTTCCTATTTTGCAAAATCTATTAATTTATTACTTTAAAAATGTGTCCTGCTAATTACCATCTGCTTGCACCAGGCCTTTCACGTTGTAGTCGATTCACAATGTTTGTTGAATAGAATCGGCTAGCAGTTATGGAGCACCAGCTGTGTGCCACACTCTACTCGACACTTTATGTACACTGTGCGTTTGGAGGAAGACATTCTTCTTTACGCTCTATAGTTGAGGCAACTCAGGAGTAGAGAGGTTATATGACTTGCCTAAGGTCACATAACTAAGAACAGTACCAGAGTTTGAGTACAATTCTTCTGATTCTAAATTGCAGCTTCTTTTTATTATATCCATGTTTTGAGAAATGTGCTTCATGGCTAATAACTTACATCAGCATTCCCTAGTGCGCTTGTTAAATGCAGGCTGCTGGGTTCCACACTGAATCTATTGGGCTGTAATTTTGGTAGCAGTGTCAGGGAGGCCCAGGAATTCATATCTTAATAAGCACCTCACGTGGTTTATATTTCGAAGTATACTCTTTTGTATGTTCAGCAGTATACTGGCATTAATGTTTGGGCTCTTTTTAAAAAATTGAAACATAATTCACATACCATAAAACTCACTCTTTTAAAGTGTACAATTCAATAAATAAATAAATAAATAAAGTGTACAATTCAGTGGCTTTTAGTACATTTACAAGGCTGTGCAATCGTCCTCACTCTCTGATTTCAGAACATTTCATCACCCCAGAAAGAAATCCTGTATCCATTAGCAATCACTCTTCATTTCCTGGTCCTCTAACCCTGGGTAACCACAAATCTATTTTTTATTGCCTGTTCTGGACATTTCATGTAAATGAACTCATGCAGTATATGACCTCTTGTGTCTGACTTCTTTCACCTAGAATAATGTTTTCAAGGTTCATCTATGTTGTAGCATGTATCAGTGCTTCTTTCCTTTTCAAGGCAGAATACTTCATTGTGTGGATATACCACATTTTGCTTATTCATTGATCAGTTGAGGGACATTTGAATTGTTTCTACTTTGTCTATTATGACTAAAGCTACGATGAACAACCATGTGCTAGTTTTTATGTAGGTATATGTTTTTAGTGCTCTTGGGTGTATACCTAGGTATAGAATTGCTAGGTCATATGGTAAATATGTTTAACTTTTTGACAAATTGCCAAACTGTTTTCCACAGTGGCTGCACTATTTTACATTTCATTAGCAATATATGAGGGTTCTAATTTCTCCATATCCTCACCAATATTTGTTATTGTCCTTTTTTATTTTAGCCATTTGTAGTGGGTGTGAAATGGTACATATATACTGGCATTTCTATACTAAAGAAGTTAGCTTTCAGGAAGATACCGTACATATATACCTCCAAAGCCTTAGATAGCCTTCTCCATGTACCTCTGCCCACAGTCAGCCCTTTTTCTGAATAGAAAAAGAATACATCTCAGTAAGTATTATGAGCATGGCATAGTATGAGTACATAATTCTGTACAGGTATAATATGGTTCCTACTGTCAAGATGTTTAAAGTATTGGTGAGAGGACATAAATGAAATATTTAGACTTGAAACAGAAATAGGCGAAATACAGAACTTTATAGAACAAAGTGATGAATAGATGAAAATCAAGTGGCTTAATATATGATCAGATAGTGAGATCAGGGAAATGGTGGTTGGAATCTTCTAGAAAAGTGGGATCTTGAAGTACTCGTGGGATATGGGTGGTCACAGAGAGGATGAAGGACATTTCAGGCAGAGAGTGGAGCCTGAGGTCTACCTAGAGAAGGGAACCACAAGGCTTTGAGGATGGAGAGGTGCATGGCAGGTTGCACACCAAGCTAGACGCCACACTCTGAGTATGTATTGATATTTTACTGATGAGTGAAATTCTTAGACCTGTTAGCATATCTTTTGAAATAAATAGTACCAATGTTTTAGGAGTTGTCCTTTGTTCCTGCTACCTGCCTTGGAGAAGAGTTTGTGAGGCGCAAAAAATAGGGGAGAAGCGTGGCTGGGCAGCACCTGCCCTGGTCTGTGAGTGTGGGAACCCCAGCCTCTCTGGAGCCCCATTCTCTCCCTGTGTCAAATGAGGTTCAATTTCACATCGGAACTTGGATTTTGTAGCACTTGCAGTGTGACTTGTACCGAATTGTAAGTGCTGTGAGAGATGAACATGGCAGCATCCTTCATATTGCCAGATGCAAAGGACACTTCTCAGCCCCTCTTATTCTCCTCCTGTGGCCTTTGACTCCTTTGTGACTGTCTCCTCCCTTGCCCTCTGTGAAATAGTGCTCTACCCGCTCCTCAGGCTGTTGGTTACTCCTATAAACACTTAGCCATGAGCCTCGGTTCCCTCCTTCCTGAAGTGGAGACAACAGTGCCAGCTTTGTGAGGGTTGTAAGGTTAATGAGAGCATGGATGTCACCGTCCAGGCATATCCCTTGCACAGTAAGCCCGGAGAGGGTACGGAGATGAGAGCAAGGGGAGAGGGCCCTCGAGCATCCTTTAGAGAGTGCTATTCCCATGTTCTTAAACAATATCTTCCTTTATTTTGACTTTGTAAACATTTATTGGATTAAATGAGGCCAACATGATAATTATTTTACACCCATAAATAACCTACCCACTTTGCATATTCCCAGCATATTAATGCCCTGTTCACAGTGCTGCTGTGAGGTGGTAGGTAAGTGTCAGTGATGGGAACTTAAGGTACACAGAGTAGGTCAGTGCTTGGGCTCAGGCAGCAAGAGCCCCAGACTCTTCCTTCAGTGCACTGAACAGCCCACGAGAAGTCTCAGCAGAAGAACATGGAGCCAACTGGAATTGGAGGGTGAGGCCTCGGCCTGATCGAGAGGCTGCCACACTTGTTCCCAGCCTGCAGTGTTGGGCTGTGTAGATGCGCTTTAATTAGTATTGAAGACCATCAGGCTTGCTGCCAGGTGGCCAGTAGTGGTTCAGGGAACTTTGTTTCCCTTTCTCCTCTACCTGGGAAATAGGGAACGTAAATAGGGCCCATGGGAGAATTCCCGATTGTGATTGTTCTAGAGGAGTCCTGTTGCTGTTGATTTTAGTCATTGACTCCTGGTTGTTTTGATTGAAGCTTTCTACAACTCCCCAAATCTTATACTTGGTGCCATCTAAATGCTTTCATTAGCATGTTAGATTTTGTTGATTCCTACTAGTATGTGTGTGGTGGGCAGTCACCTTTGCCTGCCACACTGCCAGCTTCCTATGGCATGAGTGAAGTCCCCATATACCTCTTGTTTGCCTTGGCTATGTCTTGTTTGCCCTGGCTGTGTCATTTATCACAAAGCCTGGGCTACTCTGAGCTCTTTGTCACTGCGGAACCAGCCACTGCAGACCCAGCGGTAGCCAGAGCCAAGAAGTTCATTATTCTCCTGCTGCCCAGGGGAAGTGCTGGTTGCTGGTCTTCTGGTTGCTTCTTTGTGAGCAGGATTTCCATTTGGTGAAGAGACACCACTGTGAATAAAAGTTAAAGGGACACAGGGAAGAACATAGGCCAGGACAGCTGTGGACCCCCTGCTTGAGTCAGTACCACCCTGTGTGGGGCTCTGCTTGTTCACATGCAGAACTGAGAAAACCCCTTGTTCCGCCTGGTCTTTCTTTCGCATTACACATGGGAAATACACTGAAATTGGTCCTGGTCCTTAAGCAGCTTACGTTCTAAAAATAACTGAAACAGAAGTTCTGTTTTTTATTGAAGATCCTTCCTCGAATATGTTATTTTAACATTTTAATTATTTCCCCCATTTTAAAATTTTTATTTCTCTGAGGAAAGATAGAGGTTATTATTATAGATCATGGGATCATAAGCCTGGGAAGGTCCCCTAAGCCAGTCCTCTCCTTTGACCAGTCAGGTGACCTCTGACCAGAAAGGTTGTGACCTGCACAGTTAATTCCGTGACCAAATCGGAACAGAGGCTGAGGTATTTTTACTCCCATTTTGGATTTTGTTTGTTTGGTTTTGCTTTACTGTACTATGGTGTTTTTCTCAGCGCTTAAGAAAGGGGGAAAAGGATTAAGACTAAATGCATCTAGATTAAAAAGTCATGCACGTCTTGTCAGAAAAGAGATTTGGATCTCATGAAGTACAATAGGCTGAAGATTCTTGTCCTATTTTTAGAATCACAGGCTTGAAAATCTGCATTCATCTAATCCTCCAGAATTTCCAGTGATAATAAATCCTGTGACTGAAATGCCTGAATGCCATATCTGTTTGAAATAATGTCAAGATGAAGAGGTCAGTAGGAGGTGGCTTTCCAGGCATTTTGGCTAAAGCTATAAGCAGAGTTTGGGAGTGATGACTTCAATAACACTCTTAAACCAGTGGGTTGGGAAGTAAGGTCAGTGTATTAAACTCTCAGATAGCTGAATGACTTGAGGATTGTGAGCAATGATAACCAAGATTAGGCTTACTTCCTAATCTCATTTAATCCCTCCTGGCCTTAGTCTAGACCTGGCTCTATTCACCTCACACCTGGACAATTGCACCTCACTGTCTCCTTTCTTTTTCTCCCTCCTCTATCACCATGCCAACTTTCCTAAAACACTTCTTTTCATCTGCTGCTGAAATGTTGAGTGGTTCCCTAGTAGCCTTCTTCAGTTTGCCCTCTGTCTGCTTCTCTGGTCTTCTCTCCTTCTACGCCCTTCTTTCTCCAGTCTGAACTGCCCATATTCCCTAATTGCATAATGCACATCAGTGCAGTGGGTGATGGTGTAGTCCCAGCAGTCAGAAAGCCTGAGTCCAATCCTGCTCTTCCAGTCTTGTGACCTCAGGTGTGTTAGAAATGGATCCCGTTTCTCATCTAAGTGGGGACAAAAAGGCTTTGTAAGAATTTCATGAAATACTATAGGTAAAAGTGCACGGGGCAGTGTCTAGCACCATAGTAAGTGCTATTAGTTGCTGATACCATTGTTGTTATCATGCCTGCCTCTGTGCCTTTGTTCCTGTTACTAGTTTCACTTTTCTAAGGCCTTCACTCCTCCACGGCCCAGCCTTATCTCATCTCCCCATTCATAAGAGCGCCAGCCCATAATGAGTTCAGTCCCATGTTTCCAGTTTTCTTTGCAGTACCAGTGACCAGCACAGTGCTGTTCCTGCTACAGTGGAGGAGTGGTGACTTTTTTTGGCGGGGGGGG